AGCTGGGGGAGCTCAGCCTGGAGAAAAGGAGGCTCAGGGGGGACCTTCTGGCTCTGCAACTCCCTGACAGGAGGGGGGAGCTGGGGGGGTTCAGGCTCTGCTCCCAGGGAACAGGGACAGGAGGAGAGGGAACAGCCCCAAGTTGTGCCAGGGGAGGTTTAGATTGGAGATTAGGGAATATTTCTCCATGGAAAAGGTGATCAGGCACTGGCACAGCTGCCCAGGGCAGTGGTGGAGTCACCATCCCTGGAAGTGTTCAGACATCCTGTGGATGTGGCACTTGGGGACAGGGGTCAGTGGTGAACATTAACAAACGTTGGACTTGGTGATCTTAGAGGTCTTTTCCAGCCTTAGTGATTCTGTGATTCATGGGACTTCCAAAACATTTAAGGAAAAACTGACCCAGTGATATTCTGGGAAGTATTTACTTTGAATTACCACCCCAGGAAATTCCTGTATTGGAAGGATTTATGCAGAAACAATCAATGCTGGGAAGGATGTCCAGATTTTGTCCCGTATGTAAATGTGAGTGGGGGGGTTCTCCCAAATACTTCATCGCACTGGGTGATTGTTCTCCCTTTTCCTGGGTGCTCTGACCCCACTCAGGAGCTGCAGGGTGTGGGTGAGTCAGTGGGAAGTGCTCTGGGGCAGGTCCTGGTGCTGTGCCGAGGTCAGTGATTCCATCAGGCAGAGCCTGACTGAGGATCCCCTCCCACCTCCCCGTTCCCTCCGTGCTCCTGTGGGTGCTCTGTCTGGCTGGGTGTGCTGCTTGGGCTTCCCACTGAAATGGGAGAATAAACAGATGAGTTTTGCTCATATTGCTCACTCAGGGCAGTGCTGCTCCAGCAGATTAACAAAAAGTTAATACCTGCTGATCCCATAAAGCTTTCTATATATAGGGGCTGGCATTCCTCATGGTGGTTTGGGATTTGAGGTACAGCTATTTTGGAAGGGCTTCTTTCTGCTCTTCATAATACCTTTTTTTTTGTGGTCTCAGGTCTGGTGGTGAGTGCTGTAAGCACTTTTGGAAAGTTGGAGTGACTGGTGGGCAGGGATCTGGATCTGCCTGGGGGATGCTGGGGCTGTGCCAGCCGTGCCAGGCTGGGCACTGCTGAATTCTCTGGCTCTGCTCATCTTTGTTTGCCCTCCCTGCTCACACAGGGGTTTCTGCTCGCTCCAAAGGAGCTGCCAGGAAGCTTAAACTGATATTTGAATCGTTTGGGGGTAGATCCAGTGGGAAAGGCCAGTGAGGTTTCTGGTTATGGACATGAGGACTGGGAGCCTGTGTGAGTGCTGTGCACTGAGCTCCAGTGCTGACCTCACCACCTGCCATGTGGACACGAGATCCTCCCAGAAGGATCCTGTGACACTGTCCCAGAGAGTTCTTCTGGGAGCATAAAATATTCAAGAGCAGGTACAATGTGTTGGAGGATCAGTTGCATGTTGTGTAAGTCTCTCTTTCAGCATCTTTGTTCAAATGTTTATTTTCTCCTCTCAGGTTTTTTTAGTTTAGGCTCAAGAGTTTCCAGTTCCGTGTGAATTGTCTGGACCTGAATCACTTTCAGGTTTAGGATCCCAAATCTTCTGCTTCTGGTGGGAATCCCCTGGACATTGTTAAGCATCTAGGTTGAAAATACCTTTTTGGTGGAAGGTAGTGGTGTTCAGGCAGGGTTTTCTTTGGGAATTAGGTAATCTGTTTCTGACCTGCTTCCTCTGGCAGTTCATTTATTTGGGTGGAATGTGAAATGCCCTGGTGCATGAGTGGCTTTCAGAAGAGATTATTTCTCTCTGCATTTCAGTTTTCATGATTTCTGTAGCAGATACCTTCATAATCAACTGTGAACTGGAAGAATCTCTGACTGAGCTAACCCTGCTTCTAAAGTAAAATCTGGACAGATATTTTCAAATCCCACGTTTGCCACATCCTTCCCACGAGCACAGATGTGATTGTCTGCTAAGACACAAAAGACCAAT